AAATCGGGGAAATTAATTTTTATTTTATTTTTTATATTTTAAAATTAATTTTTTTATTTGAGGATTTTTTATTATAGGGTTTTAATTTTTTTTTTTTATTTTATTGTTTGGGTTTTTAAAAATTTTTAATTTTTTTTTTTCATTTTAGGGCTTTTAATATTTTTACTTTAGGGTTGATTTTTTTTTTGCTTTAGGGTTTCATTTTTTTGCTTTAGGGTTTCATTTTTTTTACTTCAGGGTTTAATTTTTTTATTTCATGATTTAATATTCTCTTTTACTTCAGGGTTCAATTTTTTTTACTTCAGGGTTCAATATTTTTACTTCAGGGTTTAATTTTTTTTTACTTTAGGATTTAAATTTTTTTTACTTTAGGCTTTAAATTCTTTCACTTTAGGTTTTAAATTCTTCCCCTTTAGGCTTTAAATTCTTTCACTTTAGGCTTTTTTTTTTTTTTACTTTAACATTTAAATTTTTTCGCTTTACCCTTTCATTTTTTTCACTTTAACCTTTATTTTTTCTCACTTTAACCTTTATTTTTTCACTTTACCCTTTCATTTCTTCACTTTACCCTTTATTTTTTTTCACTTTAACCTTTAAATTTTTTCACTTTACCCTGTATTTTTTTCCACTTTACCCTTTCATTTTTTCACTTTAACCTTTATTTTTTTTCCACTTTACCCTTTCATTTCTTCACTTTACCCTTTAATTTTTTTCCACTTCACCCTTTACATTTTCCACTTTACCCTTCATTTTTTTCCACTTCACCCTTTACACGGGAGAAAAAAGGGAGGAAAACGGAGTAAAAGGGGAGAAAATGAGGGAAAAGGGGGAAAAGGGAGGAAAAGGGGGAGAAAAAAGGAGGAAAAGGGGTGAAAAGGGGAGGAAAATGGGGGAAAAGGGAGGAAAACGGAAGAAAAAAGGGAGGAAAACGGAGTAAAAGGGGAGAAAATGAGGGAAAAGGGGGAAAAGGGAGGAAAAGGGGAGGAAAAGGGAGGAAATTCCGCGGGCGGAGGGGCAGCGGGCAGAGCGGAAACTCCGCGGGAGCGCAAAGTGAGAGAGAAAAGGGGGAAAAATGGGGGGAAAAAAGGAAAAATCGCAGGGAGAAAGTTCATGGGGTGAAGCGCGGAAACTCCGCGGGGGCAGAGAGGGAGAGAGAAAGGGGGGAAAAAAGGGAAAAAAGAGGAAAAATCTCCAGGAAAAAGTTCGCTGGGAGCGAAGCGCGGAATGACCGCGGGGGCGGAGAGCGAGAGAGAAAAATGGGGAGAAAAATGGGGAAAAAGAGGGAAAATCTTCGGGAAAAAAAGTTCAGCGGATGTTCCGCGCTGCTTCCGCGGCTCTGCCGGCGCTTCCTGGCGGCCGCGGAGTTGATTAGCGCTGTTAATTGTTTGTTTATTAACGCGGGGCTGTGTGTCTCAAAGTCACGCTCCTTTTAAAAAAAAACCAAACCTGGAGAAGGAGGGAGGGGGCGTTGGAGTTAATTAGGTTTTATATCGGTTTTATATCGGTTTTATTTCGGTTTTATTTGGGTTTTATTTCGGTTTTATATCGGTTTTATATCAGTTTTATATCGGTTTTATATCAGTTTTTATTCGTGGTTTAGACTGGGGAGAGCGTTCAGCTCCAGCCTGGGCTTTTTCCGCTCGGAATATAAATTTAAAATAATATTAATAATCTGCCTGGGGGGCGCTTAATGCTACGGATCTTATTATTATTGTTATTTTTAATGATAATTTGGGGTGGAGGGAGGGAGCAGCGGCGTTGTCACCTCCCGCTGTCACCTGCTTTCCGCTCCGAGGTGACCCCGCCGCGGTTTTGCCTTCCCGGGAAAGATTTTTCCATTAAAAAACCCGATTTTTTTCCATTAAAACCCCTGAATTTTCCCATAAAAAACTGAATTTTTCCATGAAAAACAGAATTTTTCCAGCCTGGCAGAGCAGCAGCCGCCGGCCGGGCCGAGATTCCCGTTTTTTTCTTCCTTTAAATGAACTTTTTTCCCATTAAAAACCGAAAATACTTTTTAATTTAATTCTCTCCCCCTCGCGATTTCCTCCCGCGCTCTTGCGGGGCGCTCTGGTGGCGCTTTTTGTTTGTTTTTTTTTTTTTAATTTACTTTTAATTTATTTTCCTTTTTTCCCCTCTCTTTGAACTCGCCCGCAGCCCCAAAAAAAAAAAACAAAAAAACAAAAAAGAAAAGTTCTTTTCTCTTGTGCCGGGCAGAGATCCAGAACAAACTCCAGCCCGGCGGTGAATGATCGCGGCAAAGAAAACACCCGAAAACGGAACTTTTTGTCCCAAAATAATCGCTGTCAAAGCCTGGGCGCGCTCTGGTTTCCGCGTGGTTTTTTAAAATTTAAATAATAATTAAATTTCCTTCAGGGTGGTTTTGCAGCGAGTCCTGATGTTGATTTCCTCATTTTCCCCCCATTTTTTTATTTTTTATTTTTTTGTTTCTCCCTAATGAATCCCTGCCTGGAAGCTGTTAATTAATTTTACTGGATTTTAAAGAAAAAAAACCAAAATAAAAGAGGTGCCAGGACCTCTCCCCTTTCTCCTTCCTGCTCGGGGATTTGCGAGCAGAGAAGAAATAAAAACGCATTTTAAAGACCCAAAAAGAAGAAATAAAAACGCATTTTAAAGACCCAAAAAGAAGCACTAAAACCACATTTTAACGACCCAAAATGCCCCAAACTCGCCGATCTGCCCTTAAAGGATGGCGAGCAGGATTAACAATATCAATTATTAACAGCTTTCCTCCTCTTTAATAATTAATTATGCATCTTAGATCGAGGCAATTACAAGAGGAAAAAACCGCGCAAAAACCTGGCGGGGGCGGGACTGGCACTGAGTGATTATTTTATTTTTTTTAACGGGAAATATTCAATATATTGATTTTTTTAGCGATTTTCACCACCTCGGCCTCTGCCAGCTCCCAAAATTTCGTGTATGCCTCCCCTCCCCTGGTGGAAAAAATTCCCAAAATTCCCAAAATATCTTTTTTTTTGTTGTTTTTTGAATCCCACCCACGAGCGTGACGGGCTGGCTTTTATTGATTTTTTACTTTAAATTATACTTTTATTTTATTTATTAATAGTTTCATTCATTCATTCATTCATTCATTCATTCAGTTTCTTTATTTGAAAATTTTCTTGCTTTCAAGTTTAATTTTACCCCTTTTATCCTTTTATTTAATTTTTTTTAATTAATTCCGATCTTTGTTTAAAAAATAAAATTTAATTCATTATTTATTTGTTTTTATTTTTTATTTATTTGGGGTTTTTTTTTGGCTGCATTTCTCTGGCTCTGGGTGACGCTGTCCAGACCTCTGGCAGCAGCTCCCAGAGGAAGTTTTTGGCAGATTCGGGGCTTTTTTTGGCCAAAAAATAATTTAAAAAAATAAGAATTGTCAGGATTTATTCAGGGAAATCCCCTCCAGGTCTCCCCTCCCTGAGGGACGGGGCTGGGGGAGCAAATCCTGCGGGAAATGGGGAGAAAAGGGAATTTTGGGGGTGGTTTAATAGAGTGGGATGTGGGGAGTGGGGTGGGACCCCAAAAACCCCGGGGGACCCAAAACCCGCAGAAATGAACCCAAAACCCGCAGAAATGAACGCAAAATGAGTGGGATGTGGGGAGGTGGGGTGGGACCCCAAAAACCCCGGGAGGACCCAAAACCAGCAGAAATTAACTCAAATCCCGCAGAAATGAACCCAAAACCAGCAAAAATGAACCCAAAACCCGCAGAAATGAACGCAAAACCAGCAAAAATGAACCGAAAACCAGCAAAAATGAACCCAAAACCGACAGAAATGAACCCAAAATTTGCAGAAATGAACCGAAAACCAGCAAAAATAAACCCAAAACCCGCAGAAATGAACCCAAAACCAATAAATATGAACCCAAAACCCGCAGAAAGAAACCCAAAATTTGCAGAAATGAGCCGAAAACTTGCAGAAATAAAACTAAAACCCTCAGAAATGAACCCAAAGCTTACAGAAATAAACCCAAAACTTGCAAAAATAAACCCAAAACTTGCAAAAATAAACCCAAAACTTGCAAAAATAAACCCAAAACTTGCAAAAATAAACCCAAAACTTGCAAAAATAAACCCAAAACTTGCAGAAATTCAACCAAAAATCTCCGGGTGCACCCAAAACCCACAGAAATGAACCCAAAACTCCCAGAAATGAACCCAAAACTCCCAGAAATGAACCCAAAACTCCCAGAAATGAACTCCAAAACCTCGAGGTTCACCCAAAACTGCAGAAATTCACCAAAATCCTGCAGAAATTCCCTCAAACCCCTCAGGGTTCACCCAAATTTGGGGTGCGGGGCCAGCGCCCCTCCCCCACCCCCCGTGCCCCCCCCAATCCCGACCCCGGCTCGCTGGAATTTTTGGGTTTTTGGGGGGATTTTTGGGTTTTTTCCAGTTTTTTGGGGTTTTTTTTGAAGTTTTTAAGGGGTTTATTTGAGTTTTTTTAAGGTTTTTTTTTGGCCTGGAGGGTTGGGATTTTAGCTGGGAGTTTGTTTTGTTTGTTTGTTTGTTTGTTTGGGTTTTTGGGTTTGTTTTGGGTGTTTTGGTCTGGTCTGGTTTTACTTTGGTTTTGGTTTTTTGGTTGGTTCAGTTTATTTGGTTTGGTTTGGGTTCAGTGTTTTGTTTTGCTTTTGTTTGTTTGTTTGTTTGTGATTTTATTTTATTTTATTTTATTTTATTTTATTTTATTTTATATATTTTATTTTATATTTTTATTTTATTTTATATTTTTATTTTATATTTTTATTATCTTATTTTATATTTTTTTTTATTATTTTATTCCACTTCATTTCACTTCACTTCATCCCATTTAAAAATTTTAAAAATTCCTTTCACCTTATTTCCCCTTCTTTTACCTTCTTTTACTTCCTTCCACCGCCCCTCCCAACACCCCCTTACCCCCTTTTTTAAAAAAAAACCCACCAAAAATCCCATTTCCCCCCCTTTTTTCCCCAATCCCCCCATCCCTCAGCCAACCCCGCGGCCGGCTGGCTGCAGGCGCGCTCCTCGCGCAAGAAGCGCTGCCCGTACAGCAAATTCCAGACGCTGGAGCTGGAGAAGGAATTCCTGTTCAACATGTACCTGACCCGCGAGCGGCGGCACGAGGTGGCGCGGCTGCTGAACCTCAGCGAGCGCCAGGTCAAGATCTGGTTCCAGAACAGGAGGATGAAGATGAAGAAGATGAACAAGGAGCAGGGCAAGGAGAGGACAGAGGGGCAGAGCGCCCGAGCTCGGCTTTTAGCCCCAAACTGCCCCAAAAAACAGAGCGGGGTCCTCCCCCGAGCGCTGTTCCGGCTGAAGTTTTGGTTATTTTCGAGTTTACATCTCTTTTCTTCTGGAGGGAACTGCAGCGCGGCTCATTTTGGGGCAAGGAGAGAGAGAACAGAGAGGCAGAGCCCCCGAGCTCGGCATTTAGCCACAAACTGCCCCAAAAATCAGAGCGGGATCCTCCCCCGAGCGCCGTTCCGGCTGAAGTTTGAATTTTGCGTCACTTTTCTTCTGGAGGGAACGCCAGCGCTGCTCATTTTGGGGCAAGGAGACAGGACAGAGGGGCAGAGCGCCCGAGCTCGGCGTTTTTCTCCAAACTGCCCCAAAAATCAGAGCAGGATCCTCCCCCGAGCGCTGTTCCGGCTGAAGTTTTGGTTCTTTTCAATTTGACATCGCTTTTCTTCGGGAGGGAATTCCAGCGCGGCTCATTTTGGGGAAGGAATCAGAGGACAGAGAGGCAGTGCCCCAAATCTCAGCGTTTATCCCCAAACTGCCCCAAAAATCAGAGCGGGGTCCTCGCCCGAGCGCTGTTCCGGCTGAAGTTTGAATTTTGCATCGCTTTTCTTCTGGAGGGAATTCCAGCGCGGCTCATTTTGGGGTCAAAGAATCGGAGGACAGAGAGGCAGAGCCCCAAATCTCGGCGTTTTTCTCCAAACTGCCCCAAAAGCGGCCCCGGATCCTCCCCCGAGCGCTGTTCCGGCTGAAGTTTTGGTTATTTTGAATTTTACGTCGCTTTTCTTCTGGAGGGAGCGCGGCTCATTTTGGGGAAGGAATCAGAGAACAGAGAGGCAGAGCCCCCGAGCTCGGCATTTAGCCACAAACTGCCCCAAAATCCAGCGCGGGATCCTCGCCCGCGCGCTGTCCCGGCGGAAATTTGAATTTGACATCACTTTTCTGCTGGAGGGAACTGCAGCGCGGCTCATTTTGGGGCAAGGAGCGGGAGGACAGAGAGGCAGTGCCCCAAATCTCCGCGTTTTTCTCCAAACTGCCCCAAAAAACAGAGCGGGGTCCTCGCCCGCGCGCTCTCCCGGCGGAAATTTGGGTTATTTTAAATATTTAAATCCTTTTTCTCCTTCTGGCGCAGCTCGGCCCAAAGCGCGGCTCCTTTTGGGGCAAGGAGTGACGGGAGGCAAAGAGGCCCCCAAAGCTCCTCGTTTTCCCCCAAACTGCCTCAAAAGCGGCGCTGGATCCTTCCCCCAGACCTGTTCCAGCTGAAATTCTGGTTATTTTCGGTTTTTAAACCACTTTTCTTCTTCTGGAGGGAGCGCGGCTCATTTTGGGGCAAGGAGTGAGAGGACAGAGAGACAGAGCCCCAAATCTCAGCGTTTTCCTCCAAACTGCCCCAAAAGCGGCTCCGGATCCTCCTCCCACCGCTCTTCCAGCTGAAGTTTTGTTTATTTTAATTTTTTCAGTTCTTTTTCTTCTTCTGGTGAAACTCAGCCCAAAGCGGGGCAAGGAACCAGAGGACAGAGAGGCAGAGCCCCCAAACTCACAATTTATCCCCAAACTGCCCCAAAAGCAGCGCGGGATCCTCCCCCCAGTCCCAGCTCTGCTGTTCCAGCTGAAATTTTGGGTTTTTTCCTCTTTAAAAATCTCTTTTTGTCTTTTGGGGCAGCTCGGCCCAAAGCGCGGCTCCTTTTGGGGCGAGGAGTGGGAGGACAGAGAGGCAGAGCCCCAAATCTCAGCGTTTTCCCCCAAACTGCCCCAAAAGCGGCCCTGGATCCTCCCCCCGAGTTGTTCCAGCTGAAATTTTGGCTATTTTACAGTTTTTAAATCTCTTTTCTTCTCTTTTTCTTCCAACCCTGACCCTAACTCAGCCCTTTTTTGGGGTAAGGAATCACAGGGCAGAGAGGCAGCGCCCCAAATCTCACAATTTATCTCCAAACCGCCCCAAAAAACAGCCCCGGATCCTTTCCCCTGTCCCAGCTCGGCCGCTCCAGCTGAAATTTTGGTTTTTTTCACTTTTTAAATCCTTTTTCTTCTTCTGGAGGTAACTCAGCCCAAAGCCCGGCCCTTTTTGGGACAGGCAGTGACAGCAGACAGAGGCAGAGCCCCCAAATCTCCGAATTTATCTCCAAACCCCCCAAAAACCAGCGCGGGGTCCCCCCCCCAGTCCCAGCTCGGCTGCTCCAGCTGAAATTTTGATGATTTTCATTTTTTAAATCTCAGCGGCTCCTTTTGGAGTTCATTTCTTTTTTCCTTTTTGGGGCTCTTTTCTCCTCCCTTGTTTCCTTTTCCCCCGCGCTGTCAGAACAACTTTTTCCCCTTTTTTATTTAATTTTTCCCCCTGAAAAATCCAAATAAAAACCCGACCCCAAACCCGCCACCCCCAAAGCTCTCCGTTCGTTCTTTTCTCCATTCACCGACAAAGATTTTTGATTTTTTTCCCCCAAATCCGCCCACCCCGAACCCTCCCAGACGCTCCCGAGCACCCAGACGATTTAATTAATCCGCCGCAAGACAGACACATTCATTAAGGCTCGCCTTTAATTACACCCAACAAATCATTTGCCAGCCCGGGGTCGCCGCTCCTCCACATCCCCAAATTTGGGGTCCCCAATTTTTTTTTAATTTCATTTTTTTTTTTGCTCTGTCCGCCATGCAGAATTTCCTTTATTTGAATTATTTGGCGGAATTTGGATGGCGGCCGAATTGGGACTTGGGGGAAAAGTTTTTGGGTTTTTTTTTGGGGCAGAAACGCCCGATTTTGGGTGGTTTGGGGTTGGGAAGGAGAGAAAAAAGAGAGGGAAAGAGAGAGGGGGGAGCGTAGGGCGCCCCCCGAGCCGAATTGTAAATGATTTAGGAGGAAAAGAAAAGGAGCGGAAGAACCCCCGCCAACTTATTCCTGACTTTTTAGAGAAGAGGAAGAACGGGATTTTCTAGGTTAAAAATTAAAAAAAAAAAAAAAAAAAAAAAGAAAAAAAAAGAGAAAAAAATAAAAAAAAAAAAAGAAAAAAAAAGAAAAAAAAAAAAAGAAAAGAAAAGAGAAAAAAATAAAGAAAATAAAAGAAAATAAAAGAAAAAGAAAAACAAACTACCTTAGTGGAGCTTTCAGGGAGGGGCCGCTCGTTCCTAGCGCTCGATATTTATAATTTATTGAGGATTTTTGGGACTTTTTGGGTTTTTTCCTGGAGCTGCTGCAGGGATAAAAGCGTCAACCCCAGCCCGGCTTTTTTTATTATTATTGTTATTTAAATTTTTTTTGTTTAATTCTTCTTTTTGAATACTTGAAGTCGCCGCGCTCGGGCTCGGGGTGGCCCCACGGGGATTTTTGGGGTCGAATTTTCCCCGCGGGGCTCCATCCTCATCCTCACCCCGGCGGATGCAGGGCGGGATTTGGGGTTTTTTTGGGTTTTTTGGGTTTTTTTCAGGATGGATTTGGGGTTGGGGAGGGCGGGGTGGGGGCGGGGGGTTCCGTGTTGTGACCCGTGTTTCGTGCTCGTGTTTCTGTCAGTGCTGGAGCTTCTGTCCCCGCCGTGGCTTTTTCTTAATTTTGTAAAAAAGATTTTTAAAGTTCTCTGAAGAGTTCGGTTGGTGGTGGCTGGGAGAAACCCGAAAAAAACGGAAAAAAATTGAAATAAATGTTTCCACTCGGCTCCGTGCGCGGAATTTGGACTTTGAGGGGTTGGAGGGGCTCCGGGACGGGGAGAGGGGAGGAAAAAGCAGAAAAAAGCAGGAAAAAAAGCAGGAAAAAAAAAACAGAGAAAAGCAGGGGGAAAAAGCAGAAAAAAGCAGAAAAAAAGCAGAGAAAAAGCAGAAAAAGAGCAGGAAAGAAAAGCAGGAAAAAAAGCAGAAAAAAGGCAGAGGTAAAGCAGAAAAAAGGTAGAGAAAAAGAAGGAAAAAAGGTAGAGAAAAAGCAGAAAAAAAGCAGAAAAAAAATACAGAGAAAAAGCAGGAAAGAGAGCAGGAAAAAAAAAAACCAGAAAAAGAGCAGAAAAAAAAGCAGAAAAAGAGCAGGAAAAAGCAGAAAAAAGCAGAAAAATACAGAGAAAAAGCAGGAAAGAAAGCAGGGAAAAAAAAGCAGAAGAAGAGCAGAAAAAAAAAGCAGAAAAAGAGCGGAAAAAGAAAGCAGAAAAAGGCAGGAAAAAAAAAAACAGAAAAAGGCAGAAAAAAAACTGGGAAAAAATCAGAAAAAAAGCAGGAAAAAAACAGAAAAAAAGCAGAAAAAAAGCAGAAAAAGAGCTGAAAAAAAGCAGAAAAAGAGCAGAAAAAAAGCAAAAAAAGGCAGGAAAAAAAAAAAAACAGAAAAAGTCAGAAAAAAAAACCAGAAAAAGTCAGAAAAAAACTGGGAAAAATCAGAAAAAAAGCAGAAAAAAATCAGAAAAAAAATCAGAAAAAAAACCAGAAAAAAGCAGAAAAAAGCGGAAAAAATCGGAAAAAAAAAGCAGAAAAAAAGCAGAAAAAAGGGGCAATTTTCCGTGCCGTTTTCCAGGCGGAACCAGCCCAAATCTGCTTCCAGCCCCTCCCGGGCCTCGCTCCGGGGCAGATTTACCGGCGGGCCCGGGGCCGCTCTGGGGCGGCGATCGCGAACCTTCGCGGATTTGCATTTCGCAAACCGCTCCTGCTTTTTTTTCTGTTTTTTTTCCCTATTTTTTCCTTCCCTCCCTCCGCCATCCCGAGATAAAACCCGAGGAGCTGCGCTGAAATTTCCGCCGCTCCGAACCCTCCCAAAAAGGGTTAAAAACCCCCCCAAAAAAAAACCCAAAAAACCAAATTATCTCCCCCCCTTGAGTGGTTAAAAACCCCCCAAAAAAACCAAATTATCTCCCCACCTTGAGGAGAAACCAGAGCTGGAGGGTTTCAGACAATTCCCCAGAAAATTGTTTGGGGTTTTTGGGTTCATTTTTTGGGTTTTCCTCGTGTCAAACTTTCCATCCTGCTCCCAGATTTAACCCTTCTGCTGCCGGCGGGAGTTCAGCGCCACCAAACTTCGCTCTGCCTTTAAAACCCCAACTGACAAAAAATTCCATTTTTGAGGCGTTTCGAGCTGCGGGCAGCAGGAAGATTTCTCCAAACGCCGATTTATTTTGTAAAAAAAAAAATGCGATTAAACGAAATAAAACGGGTGGGAAATGAGGCTCGAGCCGGGCAGGATTTTTCCAGGCCGGTTTGGTGAATCCTCCACGTCTCCAACGGAGCCCGGATTCGCCAAAATCCTCTTTATTTTCATTTCCAGACGCGTTTTCCACGAGTTCCTCGATGTTTTGCGACCCCATCGGCCACCGGGATTTAGGAACTTTTTTTTTGGTTTTTTTTCCCTCACTTTCCTTAGAGTTGTGCTAAAGAGCAGATATTTTTAAGATGACGATTATGAGGTTCTTTGAGAACAGAATTGAAGATGTTAGCTGATTTTATTAGGAAATAATCTTTAAAAAAATTTAAAAAAAAAGAAAAAAAAAGTTGGAAGAATTGTTTTCTGTAGCATCAGCCCGGATGTATTTTCCAGAGATGTTTTAATGCTCCAGAATAAAAATCGATTTTAGAACAACGAGCAGCGCTGTCCTTGTGTTCCTCACCCCAAATTCTGCGATCATTCCCCCCGTGCTTCCCTGGGTTTTTGGGGTTTTTTTTGGGCTTTTTTTTTTTGGGTTCAGGTTTCCAAAAATCAGCCCGGGAGGAGTGGGAACGATTCCCCTCGGGTTTTTATTTTTGACACAAGTTGAAATTCTGCGCCTCCCCTTTGCCCGCGCCTTTAATTCTGATTTTTTTTTTTTTTTTTTTTGGAGGTTCCTTCTCTTTATTCCCGCCCCAGCCTGAGGGGAAAAGGCTCCGAGTGGATTTTCTGCCTCTCCTCGCTTTATTCCCCTCTCGCCCGAGGAAAAACTTCGCCCGAGAAGACGCAAAAAAACCCCAAAAAAACCCAAAAAATCCCAACGGGGAAACCCCACCCGCTCCCCCCGCCCGGCGTCACCTCGGGTTTCCTTTCTCCAAGAGCGATTCCTGCGATTCCCTCCCGAAATTCCTTTGGCTCTCGAAGCCCCGCAAGCGCCTGGAAAGCGGTTTTATATTAAAAACAAATAAATAAATAAAATTAAAGTAATAACAACTAAGGAGCGCCGAACAAACCCCGAGTCCTGCCGAGCCCGCAGGAAACAGGTAGCGAGAAACAGAGCCCGGAATCCC